CTAGAACTCGGTCCGAGATCTCGGACCGAGGGAAAGTTACTAGAACTCGGATCATGTACACACTGAACTTGGATGCAAAACTCGAATAAGAAGCTCGAACGAAAAAATGTGTTGCGTCCCATTTTTCGGTACGAGTTATTGCGAGTTGTTAGATTTTACTAGTTTCTTTTACTATCTGTCAAGACAAAATATAAGATACTTATAGTGATACGAGATACTGTGAACAATATAAATAATATTTTAGTAAGTAATTATAGAATTGAAAAATAAGAGAAATATAATTCTTAAATAAAATAAATTAATAAGATTAATAATTAATAAGATTTACATAAGTAGTTATTATTAGTTTTAATGCAGATTAAATTAGACATTAAAAATATATTATAACCTATATATACATATTATTTTTCAAGAAAAGTATAATAATATATAAAATTGATTTTCAGAAAAACTTCTTTTATAATAAAAATGGATAATAAGAAAATGTTAAAATTTTATTAATGTTATATCAACAACATTCTTGTTTATATGTTACAAAAGTGTTGATTATCATAATCGTATGAAACGAGATCAAGCTTTACAGATAATCTGTAATTAGTACAAAGAATTAACGGGACAACCACTAACAACTGAAATTGCAAAAAAAAAATTAACAATTTAAGATCACAATATCTGGAGCATCTAAATAAAATAAAACATTCGAAATCAAGCAGTGCATCACTTGATGATATCTATAAACCAACTTGGCAATATAACATAGATCAGAAAATCATCGTAAAGAATCGTAACTCGATTACAACGCTAACTATATTCAGCCAAGTATAAATATTATTGTTCGAGGACTCGGACCGAGATCTCGGATTGAGTTCTAGCATCGTGGACACAAGGCTTAATAGACATTTATGATGGATTTATATCGTCATTTATCATGGAAATAATATGGATTTCTAATAGAAATCTACCCAATATCCATCGTAGAGATAGATGTAGTATGGAGTTATGGAGATTATATGGACGTCCATTGGATATTATGTTCCGTGTGGGATCAGATCAAAATTATATATACACTACGCGTCAAAATTAAGAGATATAAAATTTCGGGTCGATTTTTGGGTGTTTTTTGAGCGGCTGCATCTCCGCGAAAAATGGACAAAAAAAAATATTTTAAAAAAGCGTTTTGAAGCTTGAGGGTGCCGTCACATACAGCCCGTAATCTGTAATCCGCACCGGAAGTCCGTAAAAGTTACTAGGTATTTCGTCCGTAACGTTACGTATTTTTTATCTCCTTGTGTCCCGTGGAGCCGTAAATACAGATGTAACGGTAGTACTATTTTTTATTTAACAGATTATAATTGTTTATTTGTGTTTTATTCATAAGAAAACTACAGAATATATTATGATTTTAACAAAAGTTGCAATTAAATCGTCAAATTTAGTTAAATAAATAAAATTAGAAAAAGCATTACTAGTAATAACTAGTAACTTGCAGTAATTTTTACGGAAATTTCATGGAATTACGGCTCCATGGGACACAAGGAGATAAAAACACACGTAACGTTACAGACGAAATACCTAGTAACTTTTGCGGACTTCCGGTGCGGATTACGGATTACGGGCTGTATGTGACGACACCCTGAATCTTCTAGTTTCTGAATCTTCGAAGAAAACTCCCGTATCATCATTTTGTGACGCCGGCCTTATTCTCCATTGAACGGACCAATCCGGAAATGAAAAAATTTCCCCAAATTGGGCAACGTGCATGGACCAGAAAAATTTTTTTGTCAAAAATACGATTCCACGACGTTAAAGCTCACACAATTCTTAACAATTTGTTTTTTAGTGAATGCTGTGCGTATTTTTTTTGACCGAGTTATTGGCGGTTAAAGCAAAATTGGTACCTTCAACTTTAAACATCCGTAGCTCCGGAACAAATTGTCGTACAACATTTACCATGGGCTTTTTGGAAAGTTCAAAGTCTTCCCTATAAGACGCTCTCTTCAGAATTTCGATCTAACATTTTTTTTATTTCGATATATCGATTGTAAAAACGTGTTAAAAATCGCGTTTTTCTCTTTTTTCATTCACCTGGGCGGCACTTGAAAAATGATTGAAACCTCTTAGTGTCCACGTTTTATTTTAGTTAAAGGTATGCCCAGTAACCACGCAAAATCCCGAGAGCGCTGGATTTTTCTTTCCTAGTGTTCTGAAGTTCGTAAGTTACGTTAACGTACAAAAATGACTAAAAATCCTTTATTTCGCCCCAAAAATGCCAATAACGCAAAAATTCGAAACATTTTCCATCTGATCATTGATCCTTGCTTGGTTATTTCCACGATAAGAAGTCAAATTTCCGATATGATTTTCAATACAATAACACGGCAGATTACCGTCGGCATTAGCGTTACCCAAAGCGTACCACGAGGAGGTTGTTGATCGGATTTACGCTTCGCGCGCGCGTGCGTGCGGATCTTCGCAATAGACGTGCTAGGACTCCTGCGGTGGTTGATGTACACTTCACCTCTTTCTCAGACGAGCTTACGACTTTTCATTGCGAGTTTTTAACTCACTTCTCGGCTGTATTTTCGCGAAGATGCCACGGCGTTATCTAACGGATACCGACGTATCACGAATCTTGACGCTTCTGGATGAAGGTCACTCACAAACAATTATTGCCAACAAGATGGGAGTTCGCCATTCTGCCGAAAGCGAGCTATAGCTCTGTTCTTATTAGCTTAATATCTGATACAATCCCCATAGGAGATTCAAAATATTAAACTAATTTTTGAAACTGGACGGAGGAGCGTGCTCCAGCTCTGCCGCATGTCGACCCAAAATTGCAGTAATTTCGAGATTTGGCCTAATAAATTTATTAAAACATAAGTATTTTTTTTGTCACAATAAAGTAAACATATAAATATTATATTGCAGTGATGAGCAACCCTTGTTCTGCAGTGTGCCAAAATTGAAAACCTAATATTCCATACGGGCCGCAACGAACGCAATATTAAATACTTAAATATATCAATAAAAAAAATTCAATTTATAGGGTGGAATCCGTTATTTTCGACAATAAAACTTTTTAAAATTTGATTCACTTTTTATTAGTAATACTTTTAAAAAAGCATTGAGAGTCGTCGCGAGATGTTAGTGCGAAATTATTTAATTTTTCTTATATACTAATTTTTCTAATAAATTAATTTCTTTAAGAAAAATTAAATAATTTTGCACTAACATCCCACGATAGCTCTCAATGCCTTTCTATTATATTATTTGATAGTTATCATATATGAGCCTTCCATTATATGTGTTATTTGTGTTTTTAATACTTTTAATTATGTATACACAGGTATATGTATATATGTATATTTTTTTTATCAGAAGGAATTAAATATGTAGCTGCTGTTTAATTAATAAGATATTTGGCTCTGTTTCTCATCAACAAGTTTTTCAATATTGGGAGGTATGTTTGCTAAAATTTTTACACTTCAGCTAAATAAAGTGCAACGTTTCAGCAAGCCGCAAGTAAGTATTTAATATTGCTCATCACTGTTGAGTATATTGCATACCTCATTTACTACCTTTTAATAAGCGAAACGAGCAATGTAAATTAATGAAGCATTTAAATACCGCTATTCCATTTAAATTGACGGCAAGTCCTGCTCGATTTCTGCCGACAATTTGACATCAAATTGTACTACGCAGATCCTGTTCGATTTCTGCCGCCAATCTGATATCAAACTGCATTGCGTAGGTTCTGCTCGATTTCTGCCGACAATCTGCTGTCAGCTTATGTCGACAGATTCTGTCGGCAGAACAGAAGCTTAATGCAGTTGATGCCAATCTGCTGCAATATTCTGCTCGAATCTGTTCGCAAACTGTCGGCAGACTGCTAACATTTTGCTGACTGGGTCATTACATGCGGATTGAATTTTTTTTTAATGTTCGGCATATCTGTCTATTTGAGAGTAGTTTAGTAGTAAAAACATTTATCTGGCAAGTGGAAAACTTGGATTCGATTCCCGACTTACAATAATTCATAATGAATTAAGAAGTTTATGAATTTTTTGCTGTATTTTTGCTGTCATTAGCTGATAAAACAGATCCTGCTTCATTTCTGCTGTGTTTCTGCTGCCACATCGTGACGGCAAATCATACTCGATTTCTGCTGTCACACTGTGTTGGCACATCGTTCTGGCAAAAACAAAACTTTTACTAAGAACGCAGCGGAGCGGAATCTGCTGTAAATTCATGATTAATTTTGCTGGTATTTTGCTGGCATACTACTAGCATTTTACTGATGCTGAGTATGTTTGCTTTATATAAATAATATACAAAGAGTTATTTTAGAATTTTATTTTGAAACATACTTATATGTATAAACAAATTTCAAGATTGCTGAACATTATAAATTGTATATTTACAACTCGATCCGAGCTACAAGTATTGTGTAACGATCGTCATGCGCAATTGTATACAGCTAAGTTCAAAAAACTCAATAGAGAATTGAATATTTATTGAGTAAATATAGACACAAATAGTTTTTATATTGGTTGAAAGATAGTTGAAAGATTTATATAATTGATATAAAGTTGCCTTTTTATTTTTCAAATGTTATAATTTAACAAGTATAATATTTGATATATATTTAAAAAATTAATTTATTTTTGTTATAAGGCAACAATTGCTCGAGATACGTCCATATGAGACCAATAATTGATCATTGACAATTGAGATTTTAGATCCTATTTATTGATCAATAATTGAGAATTATAGAGTGATATTTATGAATTTTTCACTTATTATTTTAGATTTGATCAAAAATTGAGAAATATTGTTCTCATGGAGTAAATCTGGAGTATTACAGCTTCTCCATGATTTGTTACTATAAATGTAGAAAGATATATGTGTTGCATACATACACCATATCGGCCAAAAGTTTGGACACATCAGGGATAACATTTAATAACAAGATGCACTGGATGTTCGGATTTTCCGTTGACAGGTAACGATATGTCGGTTAGAGTAATCTGCTTTGTGCAAATGTTAACTTCAATTCTTATCTCTAGATTTATAATTTTGTTAGCTATGCCCTAAAAGCCATCCTAAATAACAAATAAGGTAAATTACTAATACTTACAAAGTATGATTAAGCATTAATTGAAATATTTCACCACTTACCTAATTTATAGGTATGATGACAGTTAATATTGTTGAAAAATTTATTTATACTGAGAGCGGTTGTTACACAACAGTCGAGTCATCTTGATTGTGTGCAGTGAGGCAACGTTGAAGTTAGGTGGTATATGCATAGAAGAGAAATGCAAAAAAGGTACTTTTTGATACCAGAACCAAAATAAACATTCTCTCCAGTTGAATATAATAAATTAAGAAAACAATTGTTATTTTATTATACGGAAATCATATTAGCAGAGCCTAAATCGCTTTCGAAATGTATGAAATGTAAAAAATATGAAATGTACCTCAACTTTTATCCGGTACTATACTTTTTAATAATATATATGTATTACAACTGAAAAGATAATGATCATATACAAGTGTAGGCGTATAAAAATAATTTCTTTTTGTATCGTAAAATTATATTTTTTATTGTCTCATTGCAGAAGTTAAGCAAAAGTTTGCATTTCGAAAATAACTCATTAAGGACTTGATAGGCCCATAAGAGAGATAGAAATACAGTGAAGTATAGCTTGCATATATTTTAGACTTGACTCGTGTCAGGTTGGAAGTATTGTCGTGCAACTGCGCTTAATACAATTTCCGCACTGTACACACCTGTAATTGTCGAAAAAAATAACTTTTTTAACGTGTTTCATATTTACTTAGTTTAACTTTAAGCTTTCTTTGTGCAATAAACTTGTAAAATATTATCAAGTTGTTTCGTGATTACTTACTTATATTTGCACGTAGAACGTCAGAAAGAAGATGAAGATCGTTCTCATGGGTTACGATAATATAACTCAATTTCCCAGCATTCATTTCTTGTATCTGCGCGATCGATCTACGCGACTTTTCCATTGTGCCTCCTGCACTTTCTATTATTTCCGCGATTGCCGAAAGAGATGGTATCACACTTGGTGTTACATAAAATATTTTTCCCTATATGAAAATAAAGTAAAAATGGAAAGACGTTAGAAACGACCATAATTTTTGTTTACAATTAGAAATGGAATATTATACTAATATTTTTATATACAATTAAAATTTTCTCTGTATATCTAATTTATTACCGTAAGTACTGTTCCTCGATTGGGACTCGCTAAAGCTTTCTCAATATTGCAATTAAAGTTTTTCTCGAATTCTGGATCACCGAGCATGTATGCACTTTCGTCCACAAAGGTATTTTTTGTAGAGCAATCAAGTAACCATTGCAAACTGACAATAAATTTACATCGTGATAAACAACATAATAGTTTTACAGTTCGTAACGGTGTTAACATTATAAGATGAGTAGCATCTCGCCAACTAGCAGCCAAAGCACCTCCTAATTCTCGAATTCTCTGAAAATTGTATAGACTTTAGTACAAAATCATATACATAGTGTAGCAATGTGTAATTGAAATTTCTGTATTACACATAAATAAATAAATATAATTAATACCTTGGCATGCTTTCTGGGGTTTATGCCAGAAAATAGTATTCTCGGCTGTTTCTCGAGTGGTGGAGGGTCAGGATTGCTAACAACAATCGGTTCATCCAGACCCAAAAGATGAGGATCTTTATTTAACAATGGCCCATCTAATCGTGGCTTTTTGTATTTTCTGATTGAATTTGGAGTCTGGTCAACTTGTTTTATTTTGTTGTATGATTCTTGAGTAATGTTTATTGGCATTTTCCAAGCACCTAAAAAAGACGCATAGAATGTAACTTCACACGGAACTATATCATGTATAATATATGCAGTCATGTGCAAATAATGAGAGAGTAAGAGAGAGGGGAGAGGGAGGAGAGAAAGAGAGAGAGAGAGAGAGAGAGAGAGAAGAAGAGAGAGAGAGAGTAGAACTTTTTTAACCTTTAAATGTATATAATGTATATAATGTATAAGTGTATATTATACCCATAAGATGAGCCACTAGTGAATAATCTAGTCTGAAAGGATTACTCAGACTAAACTGTTGATACTTTGGAGCCTCAAACTGATGCAAAGCATTCATTTGTCCGCAAAGCAAGTCTGACAACCACTGTGCGTTCACAACGGTAGTTTGCCATTCGCGTGCTTTTTTATACTTCTGTCCATCAGACCTAAAGTTTATTTAGATATGTATTCATCTTATGACATTACAAATCGAAATATGTAACAATATAGATGAATAATCAATGAAAAATCAATTTAAAATATAGTTAAGTTATAGACAAAAATATTGATCAAATACCTTCTAGAAACAAGATGAGTATTGTGTTTAGAGAAGTAGTTTGTATACTTGGCACCCAAAGTTTCCAACATATATTGGACATTTGCTCGTTCTTCTCCTTCGAATCCGGATAGCGATATAATTTGCTTAGCACAAGGAAGTTCGGTTAAACTGAATGGCGTGGGAAAGTGCAGAGGATGCCAAGGTGGTTTCACGTGTTGCATACTAACAATATCAGAAAGCCAATGCGCGCTGACGCAACGCTTTCCTTCGCGTAACGCTTGCACCACTATCGGATGTTTTTGCGTAATAGCTAACACGTGCGTCGCACGGGTGCAATATTGTGACTCTACTTCGCCACCGTGTCTCTCAATAATTTGTTTCCAAATTAATACTTGATTTGGACGCTGCACATCGTATTCGACAATGACGAAAATGCATCCTAACATGAATAGACCTGACGGCACTGAAAATACAAATATTCTCCCGTAAGTAAATATTGTCGGTCATATAATATAACAGATATAAATGTAAAATTGGAACAACTCGACATTGTTAAACTTGAGAATACAATTACATATACAATTTATTTCTATTAATGTTATAATGATAACAGTAATAGTAAAAAATAGACACGTACATGCCAATTGTGGATTGTGACCAAAAAATTCGAATTTTTGTGTCATGACTGGCGTATATTGCATCTTTATAGATGCTCCTGATGATGCACTGTTTGTTATATTTCCCAGAGTTCTCCTTTGATAAGCCAAGAGTTGCGGATCTTGCGAAGGAGGAGGCGGAGGTCTGTGCTGCGCAGTCATCAATCTTAATTGGCCAGCTGCGCTACCTTCAGTAGCACCACTTTGTAATCTGTTAGTTAGCATGTTAGCCAATGCAGTTTTTGTTTTAGCATTTACGACGAGTTGCTGATCCGGCGGAATCTGCGCGTTATTCGATAGAGACGTTAATGATGGTTCCTGTTGCGCGCCTTGCTGTTGTTGCTGTTGCTGCTGTTGTTGCTGTTGCAAATGTTGCAACTGCTGCAATCTGGCCATATGTTGCTGCTTTATATGCAACTGCGCTAGTTGCTGAGTTGTTAATTGTCCCTGTTGGAATGTCTGTCCTGTTTGTGATGTTTGCAGACCCTGAACAGTCTGACCAGTTGGTACAATGACCTGATTGGAAGAATTTATCGGAGTTAACGCTGGTGGTTGTACCCCAGGATGCACTGGTTTCTGTCCAGAATTTTGCGCAAGTTGCGGTCCCATCATCTGCGGTCGAGCCTGTTGAACCCATTGTAGACTGCCTGGTTGTACCGGTTTACCAGAACTCCTTATAACAGCAATGTGCGGACCTTGTTGTGCCTGACGACCCTGCATTTGTCTCTGCAATATCTGTAAATTCCGCTGTTTCTGAATTTTCTGGATAAACTGAGCTCGTTGTTGCGGGTCCATTTGTTGCAACTGTTGATGCGTCTGCGCGTCCAAATGAATCAATTGTCTAGGAAGTTGAGACGGCTGCTGGTTCCATTGACCTCCGGATCTCTGAGGACCGATCTGTTGTTGCTGTCTCTGCAATTGTAAATGATATTGTTGTTGCTGCCATTGCGAGTCTCGTTGCACGATAAATCCTTGCTGATTCGGTCCGATTAATTGTTGATTCTGTGGCTGTTGTTGCAGCTGGCCATCTCTTATAACAAACTGTTGGGTACTCTGTGGCGCAGATTGTTGCAATTGCTGTGAAATCTGTTGTATCTTTTGCTGCTGTTGTTGTTGCTGCTGCTGTTGCAACAAAATGAGTTGTCTTTGCTCAGGAGTAAGTTGTTGCGGTGGAGTTTGCTGCTGGGTCAATTGATGTTGGCTTGAAATTTGTTGTTGTTGAGATGGTAGTTGCTGCATTACTATTTGCTGTTGAGTCGCTAATTGCACTTGTGGCTGTTGCTGTGTCAAATGTGACTGTTGCGTTTGTAATTGTTGTTGCTGAATAATTTGATGTTGATTAAGTTGCTTTTGCTGCGATGTTAATAGTTGTTGTTGCGTAGTTAACTGATGTTGCGGTAGCTGCGAGTTTATTTGTTGCTGTTGCGTAATCATTGATGGTTGTTGCCCTATTAACTGCTGCTGTTGTGCTGATTGTACCTGAGGGGATTGCTGTTGATTCAGGAGTTGTTGATTGTATGACGGCTGTTGTTGTTGATGCGTGAGTTGTTGTTGCGTCAATTGCTGTTGTTGCTGTTGTATCAATTGGTGTTGCATGTTTATTTGTTGTTGTTGCGGGGATAATTCTTGCTGTTGTGTTGACACAGCTTTCATCTGTTGAGAAATGTTATTTTGTTGAGATGCTTGTGAAAGCCAATTGGCTTGACTTACAACATTCTGATCGGAAGCCGATGGAACAACTGTGGAAATGCTTAAATTAGTCGAGGAAACTGATCGTGGCAGTTGCGGTTGTACATTCACAGTATTCTGTCCATTCGTAGAATAAGGAACGGTCACTGTGTTAGTTGTACCAAGATTTTGCGAAGCACTCGACGATACAGGCGGACTTGGCTGATTCCACGGCATGCGTTGTTTGAGTTGTTCTAACATGGCCTTAGTCCTGTCCTGCTCCTCTTGCGTAATGCTATTATCAGTGTCTTCGTCCATAAAACCAGTGATCATAGCTGTCGAACTATTTGGAGACACTAGCAGTCTGGGATGGTATTCCACTTCGCTAATGAGAGTACCTTTCTTGCAACATTCTACTATCCAATCAGGCGTTACGATATTGATGTGATGTTTCATGGCAGTTTCATACTTTACTCCGCTTGCTTTTCCCGTAATCAAATGAGTGCAATATCGATCTAATTGTAGCTGACATTTGCCGCCTTGAAACGTTATCATTGCCCAGAGAGACTTACTGTCTGCTCGATTTATCTGAGATAAACACACGCATATATTTGAAAATAATTGATTCTCTTCTGGTGAAAAATATTGCGTTCTGTTTAATAAATTCATTAAGAAAATGTACTTTGGAACGAAAATATAATAAAAACAGCTAATTCTCATCAACTTTTCTTAAATTCTTTAAATGAAAGATTTTAATTATCATCAATGCTTAGTAACGCTAAACATTTTACTCTTTAAAAAAATGTAAGAATTAAGAAATTTTAGTGCTTACCAATACTTAAATCGTGCGGAATTCTTTGTGTAAATAAAATATTAATATTAAAAATATATATTTTTATAAAAGGATACGGTAGAAGTTTGTTACATTTAACAGAATACAAGATCCAATTTTGTGTAACTGCTGGAATTTCATACAAATCCTTTGCTGCAGAAATATCACTTTCAGATGCTTCATAACCTGCTATCAAGTGTGTAACAAAATCACTAAAATAATTGGTTCTTTCAGCCCGACCTTCTTGCAGCAAATTCAAAATCTGTAAATAGTTCAAGAATATTGTATTTAATTAATAAACAATATTTTTTGATGCTATTACTTCTCTAATTGTATCATATTGCAGTTTTATCAAAATGTATAAACAAAATACATATATTGCTCATAGCAAAATTAATTATCTAATTAAATATTTTGTAGTATGTTAAAATTATTAGTGTAGTGTGTATAACTATTAGCATTTACAACATGCATTGCTTAATATCCCTCTTGTTTGTATTTATTAATTTAAATATCTGGATTATTCATATCAATAATCATAGCCACATAAATGCCTTTAAAAGATGAATGATAACTATGACATGTGAATATATCCAATACTATAACTTCAAAAATTTTTAAACTAGTTGTTACAAGAAAAAAAACGAATTTGTTAACATAGGTGTTAAATATAAATCTTTATCTGATTTTAGAGTGTTTGATAGAAAAAATGACAATGATTGTCACTGTAACATCTTTTAAATCACAACTTTCGTTAATAATCAATATGTAATCAGTTTCAAAATAAAAAGTTGAAAATCATAATTTTTGAGAATATCGATAACTGCGATGCAACAAATTTTGCGATTATTCGATCCTTCAATCTATCAGTAACATGAAAACGCAGGAAATGAGCAAGTATCGCACCTTGGGATCGCCTTTACCGCTGACGTAGTATTTAACGTTGGCAAACAGAGCACCGTCAAGCTTCAAGTCATCCAAACCAGCCCGTATGTCGCCCATCTTGCCAATTTCGATAATACTTGCTACAAAAACTTATGTTTTCCACATTCCAATAGCACGCAAAATCGTGAGCTAAATATGATTTTACAGTATTTAACGACAAAAGTTTGTCGCGACGCTTTTGTTATTATTATGACTGTAGGTTATGTACCAAGCTTTGGAGCGCTACATCAGCGTTTGACTACGTCTGACCGTGCGCCTGCGTTAAGGGTCAAGAGTGAACAAGAGTCCGGACTGGATTTTGGTGACCTCATGCGGGAAAACTAAGAAACTCCGGACAAGGACAGACACTTCCTTGTCTCTCTGTAAATGCTCTGTCGAGATGCGAGATTAGTTGAAAATGCTTTCGAGATTCTTGCGGAAAAAGATAGTAGCATAGTAAGGCTAGCGAGCGCCCGCTTATCATACATTTCTAGTTTGCGTATGCATATATATATATATATATATATATATATATATATATGTATATATATTGTTGATCAAGAGACACGGTAGTGTCTCGCGCCAAGTTCACGCGCAGCGCAAGACCGACCATGTATCTTTAAATATTACGTGTATATTAAAATAACTTATATTGATTCACAATAATAATAAAATATACACAAGAGTAGAATTTATTATCAATAAAATACAGATACCTAAGACTTGCAAACTCATTGCTTTTTTACTTAGTCTATTGCGTACAAAATAATCAAAGCATAACATTGATTGAAAAAATTCTTTTGCCACAATTTTAGCTCCGGTAAAAAATTTTTCATACATAATTAGACAAAAATAGTACATATCTAATTATACAAAATTATATACCGAATTTGTCCATACATAAATAGATACACCTATATATACCCTAACAGCACACGATATTCTGCGTATCATCCCATTTTCATACTCATTCTACTGTGATTATCCGTTAAATACTGAGATCAATCCTATAATATTTTTTGCAGTATTATTCGGTTTTCTTTCGCACACGTATAATCTCAGGTTTGACTCAAACGTACGGAAGTGATACGTACGCACTTCTATCGCGCGCGTATAATCTCAGGTTTGACGAAACCAGCACTAACCTGCGCCATTTACATATGTAATTCCTTTCCCCGCTTGCCTGGCATCAAGTGACACCACGCAACACCACGTATCCGAGATTTTACTGATATTGAAGGTAATCATTTTTTCCTTTAAGTTTTATTTCACAAAATAGTGAATAAAGTGTAAGAGCTAGATAGTGTTTGTATATGATTTTTGTAATATTTTTATTATTTTTTATGTACTTGTTAAATTATTTTGCTTAAAATATTTTAAGGTTATGTTCGTAAACTTGCATTATAATTGCCTCTCACCTCTTTGGTTCTTGGTTAAATATACAATACATTTTCTTAATTATTTTTTAAACAATGTCTTAAAAAGATGATTTAACATAAAACTGTTTTCAGTTCGCAGTATCGTTCCTTTGAAGTTCTCTAGCTTAGGCTTCTAGAACTTTATTTTATATTGTAAGTTTTATGTAAATATTTTTACGCTTACAGTCGTAATTTTGAAATAAAAATATCAATTAATAAGAAATTGACTGATTAATTAACCTAATCTAAATTATCCTATACAATATATAAACGCGCGCGCGTTTCAGCACTTGGCTGTGTAAATGTGTGCATGTATATGTGATCTACTGCACCATTCCCATTTTTATCCTATCTTGATACTGTCTTTAAACTATAGATCTTCCTGCGAAATTCTATGGAAGATTGTACCGCGGACATACGATGATTCCTAGAACGTACTACGTACATCGCAGTATATTTGAGAATGTTCTGAGAATATTACAATTATACTTTTGCGATATTCTCAGATTGTTCTCAGTATCTACATGTGCTGTTAGGGTAAATAAATATAAATATATATATTTATATATGATTATATAAAGGTGTGTATGAGTAAATATACATTTTCTTTGTTTTATTTTATTGTGTTTTTATTGCGCAAACATAAAGTACATAATCATACATACATTACATCATATATATATATATAGTAAGAGTGACTTGATAAAGTCCTTTCTTAAAAATCTCTTCTTTAAATACTCCAAGCACTAATT